GACTTGCCCCTGCAGTTTGTCCTAAAAGGAAGACAGAATCATGGACTTAAGTCAAAGCTTGGAGGGCATCCCGACCCCTCAACCTCAACCCAGCATCTGCCTGGATGGGATACCTCTTTGCTGAAGGTACCTTTTTGTTTGTGTGGTTCAAGACTAGAGATGATGGCTGAGAATTAATTGTTATTGGATAAACAAGAATGGTCCCCCCCCCCACCCCCCGGGAAATGCGGTGGCTCTTGAATCCAGCAAACAATAGATCAGAGCAGAACTCTGTGTCCTGGGGGAAAACAGAAGTGGGAGAGAGATCATTAGTTGCCCTGGTGCTGGGCACCAGGAGAGCCCTGTTTGGGGCCTGAAAGCAGAACCTGAGACAAGGCCTGCATGCAGGTGGTTTAACTGGGGAAGTGATTCCAGGGAAACAGAACAGGAGCCTGGGAAGTTCAAAACAGAGAAGGCAGGAAAGCTGGTAAATATGAGGGTTTGTTACGGAGTTGGCCACTGGTGTGGGAGGGGGCCTTGATCCTGCTGGGACTGTCTTACGAGCCTTGCAGAAGGCACCTCAGAGCTTTCCACTGAAGGGCTGGCAGAGGTGGGTATTCGTCCTCCTGCCATCCTTCCCTGTTGGTTAAGGGTCGCCAGTCAGGGTGTTCTCTCCCTGGCTCTTCCAGGTTTGTGCAAAGGAGGCTAAGTGGTGAGCACCTGGGAAGGAAATGGATCCTCAGTGCAGATACCTGGCAAGGTGCTGCTGGGGTGTGCCTGCAGCAGTAACGGGAGTAGAGAGGGGGACCGGGGGAATGTGGCATGTGATACTCAAGCATCCTGCGCAGGGCCCACACCCCTCATCCATTCCTGCTGGCTCAGAGGCTCAGCAGCTTGGATCCTGTCACCTGGAGGAGAGGCGTATGGTACCCTAGGGAAAGCTGGCTCTCTGGAATCAGCTCAGCTTTGAGCATGGTCTTGATGAGAGCTGAGGACCTTGGACCAATTACTGAGCCCCCCAAGCCTGTGTCTCTGTGGTGCAGTGACAGCACTAACCCCTACTCAGGATCCTTGTCAGGAAGGAGGGGATTCATGGGTACCAACATGGTGCACAGATCTCAATGGAACAAGTCAACTGGAGTTACCAGGATCTCACAGCAGACAACTGGGCAGCCCTGAGCACTTCTGCCCCAGCGTGGCCTGCATGGCTGGGCTGGCTGCCTGCCCCCAGTCTTCTCCATGACTGCATCTGGGGCCCCTCGACTCCAGCGCCGTCTTCCTCTGACAGCATCGACAGCACGGGCCAGTCTGTCCCTGTGTCCTCACTTCTTTGTCTCTGTTCCTGGTCTCTCCCTTCTTCTGCCCCGTGCTGGAGTCTCCCTGACTCTCACAGGGTCACTCCTTGGGCACTGTGGCTGGGTGTGAGAGCGTGTGTGCAGGACTGTGAATGTGAGGAGGGGTGTGAGGAATGTGTGTGAGAGTGGGGGGTGTGTGAGAACGTTCCTTCACATACGTGTGCATGAGTGGATGTGTGAGTGTGCATGTCTGAGAATGTACGTTCACGTCGGCCTGTGTGTGTGTGAGAATTATACCTTCATGTTTGTGAGTGCATGTGTGACAATGTATGTTCGTGTTTGTGTGTGGGTGTGTAAATGTGCATGTGAAAATGCATTCGCATTTGTGTGTGAGTGGGTGTGTGAGTGCGAGTGTGTGTGAGAATGTAGGTTCATGTTTGTGAGTGTGAGTGGGTGTGTGTGATCGTGTGCTTGTGACAATGTACCTTCGTGTTTGTGTGTGCGAGTGGGTGTATGAGCATGATTATGTCAGAACGTACTTCACGTTTGTGTGTGTGATTGTGTATGTGTGAGAGAATGCACCTTCATGTTTGTGTGAGTATAAGTGGGTGTGTGTGAGAGAGAACATACCTTCATGTTTCTGTGTGTGGGTGTGTTAGTGTGATTGTGTGTGGAAATATACCTTCACGTTTGCGTGAGTGGGTGGGTGATTGTGTGAGAATGTACTTCACGTTTGTGTGTGTGGGTGTGTGATTGCGTGTGAGAACGTACCTTCGTGTGTGTGTGAGAGAATGTACCTTCACGTTTGTGTGAGTGGGTGTGATTGTGTGTGTGAGACTATACCTTCACGTTTGTGTGTGAATAGGTGTCTGATTGTGAGAACATACCTTTGTGTGAGTGTGAGTGGGTGTGATTGTGTGTATATACTTTCACATTTGTGTGTGAGTGTGAATGGGTGTGTGTGATTGGGTGTAAGAATGTACCTTCATGTTTGTGTGTGCGAGTGGGTGTTTGAGCATGATTGTGTGAGACGTACCTTCACGTTTGTGTGTGAATGTGAGTGGGTATGATATTGTGTGAGACGACTTCACGCCAGAATGGGAGTGGGTATGATCGATATATTTACATTTGTGTAATAAGTGTAGATTGGTGTAAGAACAATTTCATGCCTGTAAAAGAGGGGGTGAGGCATGATTGTTGTGAGACGTACCTTCACGTTTGTGTGTGAATGTGAGTGGGTATGATTGTGTGTAAGAACACACCTTTGCGTTTGTGTGTGATTCCGAGTGGGTGTGTGATTGTGAGAACGTACCTTCATGTTTGTGTGTGAGTGGGTATGTGTGATTGTGAGTGTGTGAGAATGTACCTTCACGTTTGTGTGTATAATTGTGTGTGAGAACGAACCTTCACGTGCATGTGTGAGTGTGCATGCATGTGCCTGGCGGTTGCCTCATCCGTCCTGGTGGGTGCCCACCTCACCTCTTCCTTCCCTCTCCTCGCTCGGTGCCATCTGCACAGGACGTGGGCCCTGCTGGCTGCCCTCGGGTGCTGTTTCTAGGCCCCTGGCGCGGGCAGAGGGAAGCGGGCTGAGGATGCGCAGTGAAGACTCCAGACACCAGCATTGCTGGGGCTGGGCGTGGTCTGTGCCCCTCGGCAGGTGTGAGCGTCTCCTCGGGAGCAAGGACCAGGATCCCTGGTTCCTCCTGCCCAGTCGTTGAAACAGAGTGACTATTCCACAATATGTCATGGAAATAATGTCAATGGCACACGAGCCACAGTGCCAGTGACACCCATGGGCCCGATCCCCAGACAGCGGCAGCAGCTCCCCTTCCTGCACCCTGCCCTCCAGGCACTGCGCGCTGCCTTCTTCCCTTTGGTTTCCCAGGTAGAGACCCCTGGCGTCCCTGTTTTGCGGGTGGGGAAGCGGGAGCGCAGAGACATGAGGTAACTCGCTCCGGCCCCAGCTAGGAAGCGGCAGAGAGAGGCCCAGGCTCTGGCCACCCAGAAGTTCGGCCATACAAGGAAGGCTCAGGAAGCTTCCTTTGGTTGTCACTGCTTCTCTGTAGCCAAGGGTGCCTCAGGGACTCAGAGCGAATCCTGGAGAGTCACAGCTCCCTGCTGGCAGTTGAAAGAGACTCCAAACACCATTCTGCTCCAGCCCAGGTGGAGACATTGAGGCCCAGAGGGGTTAAATTTGGGGAGAGAAGGACACGTGCCCACGGAGCGTGAAACGGCATGTGAATGCTGAGTAATTCCGAGGCGTCTGCGGGACGTCACGTTTCCAAAAGCGCCCGAGCCCTGCCCCTTCAGGAGGAGGCACCATAGAAATGTGTGCTAACAAGCCTCCCGCGGCCTGCGGGGGATAGGAGAGAGCAGGAAGCTTTCAGAACAACGGGAGTGACTAGAAAAGGCTCAGGCTGGGAGGAGATGAAGGGCCCAGCCCCACAGTCTTTCTCATGGGTGGAAAGTCACCAGCACCCAGAAGAGCAAGGCTAAGACAGCCTGGGGAGCTGGCACAGGTTCTCCGATCTTAAAGACGCCTGTGATTAGATCTGGCTCACCGGGATATTCCAGGAGAATCTCTCCATCTCGAGGTCCTTCACTTAATCACATTTGCAAAGTCACTTTTCCCATGTAAGGCATCATAGTCACAGTTTCTGGGGGTTAGGGTGGTGACATTTTGCGTGGACATGATTCTGCCTATCACAGCAGGCTCCTAATGTGATATAGATCCCTGTAGTACTGATTAGAGGAAGGACTCATCTTAATTCCTCCCATTACAACTTTCTCTAATGTTTCTAATCTCCATGCTGAAATAAATGAGCCTTTGCCATGTTAAATCAGAGGAGAGGAAATCATCGCAAAGGTCTGTGAAAGGGTGATTTTTGAGAAGAGACCCTACACATTTTTACTTTTTGAGATGTCTCACTCTTGTCGCCCAGGCTGGAGTGCAAAGGCAGCATCTCCGCTCAGTGCAAGCTCCATCTCCTGAGTTCAAATGATTCTCCTGCCTCAGCCTCCTGAGTAGCTGGGACTACAGGCATGCGCCACCACGCCTGGCTAATTTTTGTATTTTTAGTAGAGATGGGGTTTCATCGTGTTGGCCAGGCTGGTCTCAAACTCCTGACCTCAGGTGATCCACCCGTCTCGGCCTCCCAAAATGTTGGGATTACAGGCGTAAGTCACCACGCCCGGCCACCCTAAAAATCTTTTAATGCAAGAGAATGCTGTAGAAAGAACTCCCACCTGTGGTTCCTTGCCACCCTCACCCTCCCAAGTTACCCTTAGCTGCAACAGGCCAGATCCTTTGTTCCAGGAAGGGTGGTTGGGAACAAGGGGCCACCTGGAGTCAGCAGCTGAATGGATGCCTGAGGTTCATGGATTCTAAGACTTTTCCAAATCCCCTTTCTGCTGCCACTGGAATTGTCTCCCAGAAACACAGTTCAGACAGGCTTTTCCTTGGTTAGGCCCCAGCCTACTTATTCTCTCATATAATCTGTACACCAGTCATATGAGGTAAGTACAATTGCCACATCCATTTTACAGATGAAAACACTGAGATTAGATTCATAACGTGCCCAAGGTTCCATAACTGGCAAAGGGTACTGCCCATGTTTACACCCACATCTCTGACTCCTGGGCCCAGTGCATAGACACTGTGGCCTGCTCAACATCCTGGGTCATTGCTAGAGGAATCGGGGGGCTCATGCCTTCTCCTCTGCTTCGATGGGGTCCAACTTAAGCTATGGACCAGAAGGGGTGGCCTATGGGAAAGACAAAGCAGGAGGAATTAGCAGTACTGGAGGGGAGGCAGGGCCTTTATCTTAGCGGCCTTGTCTGTTCAAATCCAGAGACATCTTCTCCACCCTGGGAGGCAGGAAAGCAGCCCAGTCAGAGAGGTGGAGCCCCGGACAACAGATCTACAACAGTGCAACACCCAACCCTGGCTCAGTGGAGGCTGCCGCCTGGCCAGGAAGGGCTCAGGTCAGCTTGATTAACATATTGCTGACCCAGCCGGGTGCGGTGGCTCACGCCTGTAATCCCAGCACTTTGGGAGGCCAAGGTGGACGGATCACGAAGTCAGGATATCGAGACCATCCTGGCTAACACGGTGAACCACCCGTCTCTGGCTACCACCTGGCTACCACCCGTCTCTACTAAAAATACAAAAAAAAATTAACCAGGCATGGTGGCGGGTGCCTGTAGTCCCAGCTACTTGGGAGGCTGGGGCAGGAGAATGGCATGAACCCAGGAGGCGGAGCTTGCAGTGAGCCGAGATTGTGCCACTGCACTCCAGCCTGGGTAACAGAGCGAGACTCTGTCTCAAAACAAAAAACAAAAACCAAACAAACAAAAAAACATATTGCTGATCCATTTTCATATCTTAAAATTAGAAACAGAAGGCCGGGTGCAGTGGCTTAAGCCTGTAATCCCAGCACTTTGGGAGGCCAAGACGGGGGGATCACGAGGTCAGGAGATGGAGACCATCCTGGCTAACACGGTGAAACCCCGTCTCTACTAAAAAATACAAAAAAAAACTAGCCGGGCGTGGTGGCAGGCGCCTGTAGTCCCAGCTACTTGGGAGGCTGAGGCAGGAGAATGGCGTGAACCTGGAAGGCAGAGCTTGCAGTGAGCTGAGATCCGGCCACTGCACTCCAGCCTGGGCGACAGAGTGAGACTCTGTCTCAAATTAAAAAAAAAAAAAAAAAAAAAAAAAAAAAAAAATTAGAAACAGAAGTACAAGCTCCGGCTATTCTATTTATCAAATCAGAGCAGAGTGAGGCTGACGTTTGTGGAAGCTGAGGTTTCTCTGCTCACCTTGGTCATTTAGGGCACCCTCTCCTTGTTCCCCTGTCAGTGTCCAGGTCTCCCCAGTTCTTGCCTTCTTCCCTCTCTCCCATCTCAAAACACTGTATCAGGACCAGATCCCAGAGAGTGCCCCACCTGGAGGTGACAATGATTTGAATATTAAGGCTGGGTCTTTAATTCTGTGTCTTCATGCTTCTGCTCCGAACCACTTAGGAAGTAGATCCAGAAATCAGGCAGTTGGGGCGCAACAGATCAGTTTCAGATGGATGAAAGTTGAGTTGGAGGCTGGGGCTTAGGTGTGTGGCCACAGCCTGGGATAATGCTTCACTTTGGACTTGAACTCCTCACCCCATCACAGGCAAGTGGGTTGCCACAGGCCTCCCTGGAGGGGTGGAGCCTGCCTGGGGAATATGGAATGGTAGGAAGGGGCTAGATCACAGAAGGCCTTGGATGCCCAGCTAAAACATCTAAATTTGGGCTTTGTGTTTTATAGGAGTTGTTGAGGATTCTTTTGAGTAGATGACATGTCCTGACCTGCTACATTCTTTCAGAGGATTGATTTGGGATAAAAGATGGTTTGGAAAAGAAAGACTGTCGGCCGGGCGCGGTGGCTCAAGCCTGTAATCCCAGCACTTTGGGAGGCCGAGACGGGCGAATCACGAGGTCAGGAGATCGAGACCATCCTGGCTAACACAGTGAAACCCCGTCTCTACTAAAAAATACAAAAAACTAGCCGGGCGAGGTGGTGGGTGCCTGTAGTCCCAGCTACTCGGGAGGCTGAGGCAGGAGAATGGAGTAAATCTGGGAGGCGGAGCTTGCAGTGAGCCGAGATCTGGCCACTGCACTCCAGCCTGGGCCAAAAAGACCAGCCACACAAAAAAAAAAAAAAAAAAAAAAAAAAAAAAGAAAGACTGTCAAGAGAAAACTGGGCCGGGCGCGGCAGCTCACACCTGTAATCCCAGCACTGTGGGAGGCCGATCCTCCCACCTCAGGCGGGTGGATCACCTGAGATCAAGAGTTTGAGACCAGCCTGGCTAACATGGCGAAATCCCGTCTCTACTCAAAATACAAAAATTAGTGGGGTATGGTGGCGCATGCCTGTAATCCCAGCTACTCGGGAGACTGAGGCAGAGGAATCGCTTGAACCTGGGAGGCGGAGGTTGCAATGAGCCAAGATCTTGCCACTGCACTCCAGCCTGGGTGACACAGCGAGACTCTGTCTCAATAAAAAAATAAAAATAAAAAATAAAAAGAGGGAGAAAACCGCTGAGAAAATGCAAACTAATCACTCCTGGAAGACAGTGGTCCGAATCTAAGTAATGCTCTCTAGTATTCATTCCACAAGGGTCTCAGGCGTCTCATGAAATCTCAGGCTGACTTACACTCACATTAGACACATTCAGGTTTTGGGTTGAGCATATCCATGAGTATTTGCAGATAGTAATTTTTATAACTATTAAATAATTCATGCTGACATTGTTTTCCCTGTTGTGTTCTTGAAAAAGATGCTGTTTACCGCACAGGCAGTGGTGAAAATAAATTAGCCACCTGCTTTGCCACCCCTTTTCCAATCTTGCTGTGTCCCATGGGGGATGCCAGGCTCTGCTGGGCACCTTTCTGAAAGTGTTCTTTTCAGTAGAATATGTGCTGAGCTTTTTTTGCAAAATCAGGCCTTAAAAAAAAAGTTACACTTTTTAATTTTCATTTAAAAAATTTCTTTTTCACTCCATTAAAATTCATCTCCATGAAATGGGTTCAGAGTGGTTTTAGCAATTCTGTCTGTCACCCATTCTAAGATACTGCTGGCGCCACGTGCAGCCACCCCCTGCTGAATGGGAAGCAAGTGGCAGAGCCGAGTGTGCACCTGGAACCCCAGTGTTGAGGTCTCTGGTCAAGGCGGCCCCCAATCTCTTTCATTCGCAACCCCCCACCCCCAGCCCACACTACCTGCCAGTTTTACATCTGTTTGGACAGGAAGCCTTACAACCCTGCTCTGCTATTTTTAGGAAGCGCTCACATTGAGTCAGCCTTTCTGCTGGATTCACGCCCTCTGCTTGATGGTTCTCAGGCTGTCTGCCTTTTCAGCAGGAGCCTCGGGCTCACATCCTCAGAGACGCTTCTCTTCTCCCTGCCTGTCTCGGCTTTGGTCTGCACCCCCATTTTTTATCACCTTCCTAGAACAAGGGCAGGCTTTTAGGGGTCCATATTTTCTTGTTTCTCTCATTAACAATCTCCCCACAAGTCATGCACATTAACATGGATAGAGCTGGAGGCCCTTCCTCTTTTTCACAATTGTGCATTAATGTAGCTGTAAGTGGGAACCTTTTTTTTTTTTTTTTAAATCAAGTCTACATTCAAACATGCTTTTAAACTAAAAATAACTGCATTTAAATAACTTTAGGCAGAATGATATAAAGGAGGATTTAAATGTTAGCTGTAAATTGATACTCTTCATTCTTATCAATTCTTATCATTTCTTATCCCAGAGTGTAGCCAAGTGACTGTTATAGAAAAGGTGCTTAATAAATGCTTGATGGAGGAAAGAATAAATGAATAAATTCTGTAATGTTAATAGTTTGGTGATGTATCCCTCTCAAGGGTGAAACTTGTAATTTAACACTCAGAACTTTTCTTTAATAAATTGCAAATGGTAGAGTTTTCAGGCGTCTGTCCAGGTTGCACCAGAAATATTTCAGGCAACTGAAATATTTCTTTGGCTGAGGGGCTCTGGTGCCCCTCAAAGGCCAGGTCTGATTCCCAACAAAGCCAACTCTAGTCATTTTCCTAGCAGATTTTATAAACCAGGGAACTAGTTAAACACATTTCATTGAGAAAGTCACACCAAGATTTGATCAATTCAATTTAAAATGGCTTAACCAGTAAAGAAAATGTATTACCTCTAAAACAAGCAGTCTTTGGATAGGACAGGTCTAAGGTTAGTTATTCTAGTGGCTCAATAATGACATTAAGGTCTGTGCACTTTCCACTTCTTCCCAGCTACCTCGAGGGTATCAGCTTTGCTATCACAGGCTTACACTCCTCATGGTTGCAAGGTGGCTGCCACAACTGCAGCATCATATGCAGACATGACAGTGTTGAACAGAGGAGGAACAGTTTCTTCCCCTGCCTCTCTTTCAGGACTTCAGAATACCTTACCAGAAGCTCCTCAGAAAAATGTCCCATATATATTATATATATAAAATATGTATATATTTTTATAAATATATTTTTAATATAATATATGGGATATATATATATATTTTTTTTGAGACAGGGTCTCATTCTGTCACTCAGGTTGAAGTGCAGTGGCGTGATCTTGGCTCACTGCAGCCTCAACCTCCTGGGCTTAAGCGATCCTCCCACCTCAGCCACCCTTTGTAGCTGGAACTACAGGCATGTGCCACCACACCCTGTTCCCTTATACCTTTTTGGCCAGAGTGGGGTCACATGCCCACTTCCAAACTAACACTGGCAATAGAACTGGTACCACTGTGGACAATTTCAATCATTCGTGGTTTACAATTGAGCCGTATAGCAGAGGTAGAGACACCTAAACACATTAGGACCCTTCCAGCAAGGATAAAGGGAGGGAGAGCTATAGGATGGGCCATCTACAGTGCTGGCTCTGGCGCCCCTCAAAGGCCAGGTCTGATTCCCAACAAAGCCAACTCTAGTCATTTTCCTAGGAGATTTTATAAACCAGGGAACTAGCTAAACACATTTCATTGAGAAAGCTACACCAATATTTGATCAGTTAATGAGAAATACATTTAGCTGTTAAGGGTACCCCCACTTTTCTTGCTTCCTTACTCTCAAGGAGAACCCTGTTTTCAACATTTTCAGTTGTATTCTGTGACTTTTTTCATTTGGCTGGGAATGATGTGGTTGAGGGATCTACAATCTATTTCACAGTTCAGCAACAGATGTCATTCATTCATTCATTCATTCATTTATCAAATATTTATTATGCTTTTATTAAGCACTGCA